CAAAAAAATATGCATGCTTATATTACATCAGCACTATTGACCAAAAATGGGATCTGGAAATACATTTTGTCAAACGATACCATCAAAGCTCTTTGATTAGATTAGTATCTTCAAAACTGTCTTCACTTAAGAAGTGACAAGAATCATGCTATGTCCAAAAGAATGCAATGCTGTTTCCTTTGTAAGGAGAAATCTAGAAGAAAAAGCTTTCTTCAGGTCAATAGTCTCATCTGGTTAGAATGATGCACATTCTGCTGAAAATCCAGCTTGATATTAAATCAACCACCACCTATAGTTAGTTATCTCTTACCATCTCTAAGCCACATGAGTTTTAATCATAAAATGAGTGATAATATCTTACCTTCATAAAGCAGAGAACTATTCCGAATGAAATCTTGAATTCCCTTTTTATAATTTGTGATCTTCCACACCATGTACTCAATATCTGGAAAAAGGCCGCTAATCAAATAGGAACAGAAGCAGCTATCCTACTGACTTACAAGGCATGATCATCAAGTCTCCTTGAAACAATACTTCCATAAGGGAATGTGTCCTTTAGAAACTCCAACAGCAAACTTATGCTTCAATGAAGCATTTAATGGAAAGTCTGAGTTTGTTTACAGTGAGGTACATAAATAATTCTTGATAATTTTTCATTTAAACTCAGTTTTAGGGGAAGACAGAATATCACAGAAAATATCACACAGGAGGTGTTAATCACTCAACATTTGGAAAATACTGAAGAACAATACTAACATCACAAAGAGTTTAACTGCTACTAATCTCTACTTTTGTCCTGATACTCTGAGTTATCTATTCGATAGAGACTCAGGAACAATTTCTTGATATAGAAAATTTGAAAAGCAAAGAATAGTAAAAAGAAATTTCACAATAAAAATAAGGTTTCATTCAACTATTCAGTGAACAAAGAGGTACATATTTAAGAATAAAAATAGAAGATATAACAAATTTCAAATTACTTCTACTGGTAAAAGGATAGTTTCTTAAAAAAAGAATTCACCGGGGCGCCTGGGTGGCTCAGCCGGTTAAGCGGCTGCCTTCGGCTCAGGTGATGATCCCAGGGTCCTGGGATTGAGTCCTGCCATCAGGCTCCCGGCTGAGCAGGGAGCCTGCTTCTCCCTCTCCCTCTGCCTGCCTCTCTGCCTACTTGTTCTCTCTCTCTGTCAAATAAATAAATAAAATCTGTAAAAAAAAAAAAAATTCACCACTACTTCCCCCAAAAACCTAATAATCCATGAAGAAGACAAAAAGTCTTTAAAGCTGAAAATATAACAATACAATCATTCCCTTTAAGACTAAAACATTTCATAATTCTGTAGTTTAAGAAAAGTTAAAACAGGGCGCCTGGGTGGCTCAGTCGTTGAGCATCTGCCTTCGGCTCAGGTCGTGATCCCAGGGTCCTGGGATCGAGCCCCACATCGGGCTCCCTGCTCGGCAGGAAGCCTGCTTCTCCCTCTCCCACTCCCCCTGCTTGTGTTCCCTCTCTCGCTGTGTCTCTCTCTGTCAAATGAATAAATAAAATCTTAAAAAAAGAAAAATTAAAATAAAGCCTTATAAGCAAAAGGAAAGCTGTTCTGTTTTCTAATGTCCTCAATCCTAACAAGTGGAATTGAAATGTGGCTGGTCTTGTGAGATTCTTTAATATCCAAAGGATACCAAATAGAATAAATTTTTCATCAACTTAAAAATCAAACATAAATTGGTACTTACTATGACTTTCTACATCACCTTAAAACAATGCAATTACTATGTGTCATAGGCTCATACCAACATTTATTGCCAATATTTGACAGACATATGGTTCTTGCGGGTACGTTTATGATTTTATTTTCACGACAGGATGACAATGAGTGTTCTTTAAAATTAATTGCAACATTCTATAGTCTACTATAATACACATATATTATACTATAGTATACTATAATATACATTTAAAAGAAGTTGGAGATTTTTATTCTTCAAATACTACATATTATCTTCCTTTCCAAATATATTATCGTTAACATCCTTTAGAATACAATGTAATCAGAGTTTGCCAAAGCAGGAGTTATATCACATTATATCACTTATTTTTTTTCTCTCCTTTGTACTTATATGAAAATAAGATTTCAAGAGTTATATCAGGGAGATGATATTATACCTGATAATATCACGGGGAAAAAGCCAACCAACATTATATTTGAAAGATGCTACAATGTCAGGGAAACAAATATCACCTTATGACAAACAAGATATCAACATCCAAGATGCATAATAGTAACAGCAACTTCCACACAAGTAGCTTTTTGATCAGGAAAATAAGACAGATATCCTCATAACTCTATTCCTTTCCTTGTTTCAGATGACTAATGGAAAATTTTTACAAGTCTTCTTTCTGCTTTATGTAACCAATATAATAAAATTTCTACTAAATCCAGTAATAGGCCTAAAGTTAACAGATGTCCATAAGGTCTCCTTCAAATGTACTAACAACCCCATTTCCCACATACCCCAGCATCGGAAATTGATCCTTGGCTCCTCTATTCCATGAAGCAGAAGTTTTAAACAAATGGTAAGGAAAAATAATTTCTAGTGTTTGACTTTAACATACTAGTTCTCATCTATAGGCCCCAGTCTAAACCCCACACATGGGTGGACCTTAATATATTCTAAAATCTATTTCTTGCTCTCTCTTTTTCTTTCCTTCTTACTACTTATATTCCTCTGAAAAATTATCTTCCTTAGTCTTGGGTGGTCCAATGTATACATAATTATTTTCCCATGGATACTATAAGAACATGGCATGCCTGTAGTTTTACAGATTTTCTGATGTGCTGTGCTAAAACATACAGTAATTAGCACTGTGGTCCCACACACAATAGTAGAATCCTAACAGGAACACTACCATGAAACAGAAACACCACTTAGTCAAAACCCCAAGCTGAACAAAGTATAAGTCAATAGATGACAAAGATTTACTAAAGACCTGTAACATAACTGGTAAAATCTAGAAATGTGTATCTTATTTATGCATCCATAATCCTTGAATTGTCAGTAACAATGTCACATCTGCAATGATGGAGTGGTATACTGAATAACTAATATTGTAACTGATCTCTAGAACTGTCAATAAATCAGTGTCATAGAACTTCAGAGGAAAAAGGGACCTTGGTAAATATGTAGTCCTTCCCTTCATTTTACAGATGAGAAGAGGGACGAAGAAAAAATGTAATAAGATCATTTACGTGATGTCTACAAAATAAGAAAGACTCAGTAAATACTTGTAGCATGACAAAACCCAGGTCTGGTTTCCTATGTGATACTCTTTGCATGTCTCTAAATTAAAAAACAAAAACAAAAAAAACCTTTTTTAATCTACACATGGATTGAAAAACCCATGAATTTGAATTCTTGAAATATAGATCCTAGTTGCTGACACTGAACCAAAGAAACTGTGAAGAACAAAAAAATTCATAATGCTGCATATCATATTACATATTTTCATCCCAAAACTCTCATACCATAAAAAACCCTCTAGACCAACCGACACACAAACATAAATACAGCATATTAAGCTTATAGCTAACTATTTTTATAATTTTAAAAGTTAAGTTTAAAAAACACAGAATAGGGGCGCCTGGGTGGCTCAGTCGTTAAGTGTCTGCCTTCAGCTCAGGTCATGATCCCAGGGTCCTGGGATCGAGCCCCGCATTGGGCTCCATGCTCAGCAGGGAGCCTGCTTCTCCCTCTCCCTCTGCCTGCCTGTCTGCCTACTTGTGATCTCTCTGTCAAATAAATAAATAAAATCTTTAAAAAAAAAAAAAACACAGAATAGTCCTAATGAAGAAGCCAAAAAAGGAAACATACAGCTTTAAAGATTAGTCAAAGGGGGAAGGGTGAATCCTAGTTTTGCCTCAGCAATGTCAAAAATGCAGAGTGGGAAGATCCATACTTTTGAGCTCTAATTACACTATCTGTAGGAGCCTCAAATTTCCTGCATCTATTAGTAAGAGCCCCTATTCCTGCTCTCTCCCCAATCTACTTCCCCAAGTGACTACCCAACTACCTGTCTGGAGTTCCCCAAACTCTTCAGGCAACCTCAGTTACCCAGAGATTGCTCTGTGCTTCTCCAAAATAAATGCTTACATTCTCTAGACAAAGCTTTGGGGATCAGAAAAAAAGGTCTCACTTAATTCCTCTTGTCAATGGAAAAAACAGCATCTGTTGATTTAAAGATGGCCTTTTGGGAAAAGTTCCTATGAGCTGAATCCTTAGAATTCACTGACCCAGCCAGGCACTACCAAAAGTTTTCAAAAAATGGAAGTCAACTGTGTCTGAGTACATCCAGACAAGCATTTTCTAGGGATCTCTTTGGACTGAAAAATAAGCATCTTCTTTCTCTGTTGTTGTTGTTGTTGTTTTTCCTTTAAAAGCTCCCTTACCAACTCAATCTTATCAAGTAAGAGATACAACTTTCATAGCATGGTCTTCCCTTTCACCCTTAAACAACAAATAGACCTTGCCCACTAACTTCCTACTCTAATCAAATATTTTTATTCCTTTAACAGAACCCTTGATTCTGCCTTATATCCTGCCTGAGCTATTTCTGGTTTTTAAAAATTCTTCTTGGATTGTCCAAGTTTAAAGCTGGCCCAAGATTACTTTTAGCATGTGGCTGCATGCATGGACACATGCTGTCAAGTCTCAATTTACTGTCCCTCTCAGTCACAGATCTCCCCACTTAATAAACCCAGCAAAAACTCTTTGGTTGTCTTTTGGATTCTACTCCTTCCCTTCCACACAAAGTCGGGTTATGATATCTAGACTTTATTACTTTAAAAGGGCCAAAGCTCCGGGGATGGTGGTAAGGGAACTCATTTGGCTAGTCAGTGTTGCTCCAGACTTGGTATTAGAGAACTGAGGTGAGTAGGGCTTGCACTTTTGCCTGAGTGTGTGCTCCCTCCCTCCAGCTGCCCTTTCTAAACCTCCCAGCTTACTACCTGTTGGCAGTGCTGGTGTTGCTGCTCCCGTTGCTGTGTTTCTGTGCTCGGCTCAATCTCCTTGGGGGCTTTGAATGCTGCAGCCCGGGGCTCGGCATGGAGGGGAACGTGGAGGCATAGCCATGTTCACACTCTAAAGAGACAGCAAAAAAAAAAAAAGAGAGAGAGAGAGAGAGAGAGAGAGAAAAACATGATAACAGGAATGTACCCAAATCCATGGATCCACAGATCTAAAGTCCCTGCAGTAAAATGTTGCTGAAAACAGCAGAAGAAAAGGAGGTAATATTTTCCCACTTTTTGCTTGGGAAGATAAAATTCTCCTTACCAGGACATCGATTCTGTAACATTATATACAGACCCAACCCATCACCAGAGAGGGGTACAGATACTTCCTCTAAACCAAGTAATTTCTCCATCCTCTCCAAAATCCTTTTCTCCAAGAATTCTTGACTGAAACACGCTGATTTCTAAGACTAGCCCCCATCCACCTCAATTATTTCACCCGCCTCGAAATCCCCCTTTAACTCTCTCCATTCTAGGTCTCTCCCTAAGCGTTCCATTTTCACGTATTTCAAACCATTTAATCGCCTCATCTCGGAGGACATGTTCCCCCCCGACACCTTAATTTCCAGAGTTCCTACTCTTCACTCCCCAGTCTCTTTACCTCTCTTCTAGTCTCGGTCCCTAAATGGGGTCCCGTCTCCTCCCACCTCAGTTTCTCGAGGTCCCTTCCCCACAGGTGTGCACCCTCCTCCCCACGGGCTCCTCGGCAGGCATTCCCTTCCTCGGCCGCCAGCCTCGCCTCCTCCACCCCTACCTGCGCCGCCGCCTACCCCCTTCCTTCAGTTCTTTCTTCCCTCTTCCCTCCCAAGTCCTCGGGCTGGCGCCCACCCTCAACACACTCCCTCCCTCTGCTCTGGCCCACCTCCCCTCTGCCCCCAGATCCTCGTCCTCCCCGCACACACAGGCCCGCGCGGCCCCTCCCGCACCCCTCCCCTCGCAGGCTCCGGGTGCCCACCATCACCCGCACCCCTCCCCACGCGCACCCCTCCTCACACCCCCCCTTACCACGCACCTCTCCTCACACGCACCCCTCACACACGCACCCCCGCCTCCCCGCATCCCTCCTCACCCACGCACCTGTCGCCAGCGCACCGCTCCTCACACACGCACCCTCCCTCCCCTCACACACCCCTTCCCTCACACACGCGCTCCTCACTCACACTCCTCATGCACGCACCTCTTTACACACGCACCCCTCACGCACGAGCCCTGCCTCCCGTGCTCACGCACGTACCCCGCTCCTCACACCCGCACCCTCCCTCCCCTCACACATCGCACCGCATTCCCCGCGCGGAGGAGTGCGCGGGCTTGGGTGGTGGCGGAGGCGGGGGCGCCCAGCCGTTACCTCGGTCTCGGCGCTCCAAAAACTCGGCCGCCTCAAGCAGGCGCTGCACGTTGATCATCCGCACCCTCTCCATGGGCACCGCTGGTGGCGACCGGGGCCGCTCCGCGCTCCCTTCCCCGGCCGACAGGAGGCGCCGCAGGCGGCTACAGGCCGGCGCCGCCCCGGGACATGTGCGGCGGGCGGGCGGGCCAGCCCGGCCGCGGCTCGGCGCGCTCTCCGCCGCCCCTTGCCGCCCCCGCCGCGCCCGCCGCGCCCGCCGCGCCCGCCGCCGCCGGCAAGCCCGCGCGCGGTTTGTTTACCTCTCCGCGCAAGCACGGGGGAGGGGCGGGCGCAGCACCGAGACCCGCCCCGTCCCGCCCCTTCCTCTGCCTCCTGGGAAATGTAGTCCCGCCCCCTCCCACTGTACACCGGGAGTGGTAGTACACATACCACCTCAGTGCGCCTGCGCTTTGCCGAATTCCGCAATGGCAGCTGGGAAATGTAGTCCCGTTCGACTTCGGTCTTTAGGGTATAAAGACTAAGAAGTTATCTGGGCTTTACTTCTGGGAAGGAAGAATTTGAGCCAGTTATCGGGAAGCTCTTTTCTCAGCGACTTCCGGCGGGTGCCCAGGACCTGGAGCATTCATTATCTGAAGTGCCATGTTCTAGTCCTCTATCTACTACCACTTTTTCATGTAACTTCCATGCCTCAGTTTCCCCATCGCAAAACGTACTGTTCGGCTGGCGCACACACAAGCGTTTGAAAAGCCAAGATCACTGTTCAGAAACAGGGGATGATCCCATCCGTACCACAGAAAGTTTCCATGAGGCCCTTCTTCCACCTTGGTTTCCACATAGAGGTAGTTCTGTATTTCGTGCGTTTTTTTTTAAAAAAAAACTTATTTTGCTCCAGCCCCTCGCTAGTGACTTTAGAGGCTAGAAATCCTCTCTGGTGTTGCCAGTGAAGGACATAATTCAGTGGGTAAGTGATTTGGGGCTGAAGTCCCAAAGGGTTCACTTTAAATCCTGACTCTGCTAGTTACACTACCTGTCTGGACTCTTCAGACCTCATTTTCCTCATGTATAAAATAGATACAGTTACTCCATTTATCCAAACATTGAGGGCCTGCCATGTGCCAGGCACTGTACTAGACATAATGTGTACAGTAATGAGAGAAACAGACATGGACTCTACTCTCAAGGAGTCTATAGTCAGTAGGGCTTATTGTGAAGATTAAACGAAAAAATTCCAGCACTTAGTACATGCCACTCAGTTAATGGAAGCTATGATGATTGTTTCCTCTCTTGTTCTCCTCCATAGAGAGGGAACTGAAAGCAGGGGCTAAAGAGAGCAGGGACCACATTAAAGAATTGCCAATGGCTGCCCTCTCTTCCGTTCTCATTCCAAGTCCTCCATCTAACAAGCCCTCAAAGTCTAGACCAGAGTTTCTCAACCTCTGCATTACTGACATTTCGGGCAAATAATTCAGGAGGGGAGGGGGCAGACTTGTGCTTTGGTGTGTGTGGGGGGGGGGGGCAGACTTGTGCTTTGTGGGATGTTCAGCAGCATTCCTGGCCTCTACCCACTAGATGCCAGTAGCACACTACCAACCAAAAAGGTCTCCAAACATTGCCAAATGTCTGCTGGGGCACAAAAATCACTCCCAGTTGAGAACCATTGGTCTAGGGAGAGGAAGGGCAAGAGGGTCATAAGTGTTGAATGCTCTAGGAGCAAGCTGGGAATTGTATAAACAGCCATAACTTTTTCCCACCCTGATTATTTTAACCTGCTGGTGGACATCCAAAATAACAGGAAGCTCTTGGTGAGGGGAGAATTTCCCCTTCCCTGTGGTCATTCCAGTGGCTACTGCAGAAAATATCATCTCAGAATGAAAATCTTACTCTCAAAAATGTCATGAGATTCATGCATTTTAATGCTCTCTCTCTCTCTCTCTCTTCCTCTTCTTTTTTTTTTTTCAAAGTGAACAAGATTTCCAATGAGGTCAAAAGCTGCAAAATTATGCCAGCCCTTTTAAATATTACACTTAGCACCACATTTAAGAATCAAATAGATGTTCCATCAAATGCAGGGAGACCCAAAATGAGAGGTGTTCCCACGCTGTTCACAGGAGAGTCTATTTCTCTTGTAAAGACTTTGAAATAGGGACTTGACTTTTTCTGTTGTCACTTCAGATCTGGGCTTTCCCATTAGGTATTGGTAACAACCACTCTCGACAAGGGACATGTTGGGTAAAGGGAAGAATGGAATTATTTAAAAGAAAATAGCTATTCACTAAGATCTGTTAGTTAAGGGCAGAAATTATTAGGTTCAAAGTTAGTTTCTACCACTTGTAGACGCCTTGCTTTAGATCCCAAATTGCTAAGGGCTACTGCAGGAATTTAAAAGAGGTAAATTCATGACAAATAAAAGTCTCCCCAATGGGAGATAAACCATGTGACATGCAATAAAAAAAAATGTACCAACTGAAAATACACAGGGGTTTAGATCCATAGATCATAAGTCCTAGCAGTTATTAAGAGAAAGCAGGATGCTCGGTGCATGTGCCTGACCTTTCACAGTTGACCTCCAGATGAATTAACCAGCCCTTCTTTTACAGTCATGGCCAAGAGGGAGAGGAGGAAATGGAAAGTAGGGCAAGAGTCACCAAAAAGGCCACCTGCATATGTTGAAGAATAGCAGAGTTGATGGTGATGGAGGGCAGTAGGCAGTGTTAAGGGCAGATTTATGTACAGCAATAGTCAGTCTTTTCTAATAGCAACTGAAGGTGCCATTTCCTTTTCCCTGCTCTGGCTGACTTCTAGAGTTCTTGCTTTGACATTGGTCACAAAGGCCTCTCGTAGCACAAAGCTTGGGGCTCTAGCCTCAGGAAAGGAATGTGCTTCACAAACCATCCCTCAGCACCAGTCCCAGGCTGGAGGAACCTAGAAGCAGCTGTGGCCTTTCTTTTGCTCAAATGAATCAAGTTTGCCCTATAAACGCAGATGCCGAAACTGAGAAAAAGCAAGGCTTCCAAAGTCTTCCGACCAAAGAACCTGGAATCTTACCCGCAGTCTCCGGTTCTGTCCTCTCCCTAAAGTATCTCTCTCAGGGGAGCCTCATTTGAAGATGGTAAAAAGTCCTCCTGGATGCCCCAGGCCTCTAACTAAGACAGCCCAGATGGGGACGAGCTGCCCTCTGGAGCAAGCAGGCAAAGCTCTCCATTCTTAGGGGTCCTTTCTGTCACAGTTTACTCGATGCAAATTTCCAAACGACTTATTGCAGATTCATGAACAATGGAGGAGACTGGTCTGTATTACATCTTTTCTGCAGACAGGAGAGATGGAGAGAGGGGAAGGGACCCTGAGGTTAAGTTACAAGGCCAAAGTCACTGTATTGGTAATACCTGGTGCTTAAGAGAACTTCCCTGAAAGTGCAAAACGCTTGCTGTACAGGGGCACTGTTTTCTGCCATTATCTTTAAGGATGGGGGTTTTCAAGTAATGAAGGCTGAAGATGAAGGAAGGGTGAGTCCTGAGCTCCTAAATGAGAACCTTCACAGTTATACGTCTTTCCATCCTCCACCCCAAAATGACAACGGCAGCTTCCTTCCCACCTCTGCCCTCAGGGCCCCCAAAACGTGAAGAGCAGCAGAAAACCTTTCCTTCTGCCCAGTGAGTCAGCCTTGCCTAACTTCATGCGTAAGCTCTCCTCAAGTCAGCGGCAGCTCAGAGCTGCGGGTCTGCGTG